CGGACAGCGCGCTTTAGACCTCTCATACCAGTCTTTCCTGCCGCCAGGACCCTCACCAGTGCCATCGTTCTGGTCAACCGGCTAGACTTTCTTTGCTTTAGACTTGTACATCCCATTGACTTCCACAGGAGGTGGTCGACGTCGCGGTCGATATCGCGGTCGGAACGTAGGGTAGTTCTTTTGAAGAGCTTGTTCCATCTTGGCTATCTCTGCAGCTTCTCCTCTGCCGTACCTGGCTAAGTTGTCCCTTCGTAGCTCGTCGGATGGAAAAGGCGTGTGTCTCGTCATACAGCGGGCGCAGAGATCGTCGTCACAGTCCTTGCAGTTGAGGTCAGGAAACAAGAACTCGCAGAAGTCTTCAAACTTCTTAACTTCTGCTGCTGACGGGACTTGGTTCAAGATCTCTTTAGCTTTCTGCGCGTCCCAATCTGGAAACTTCTCAAGAAAGATAGAAAGGAACGTCTTCTCCCCGGTGTTCTGTGGTTCCGTCTTGACACTCTCGTCTAGTCTGTATCTCGTCTTGACACTCTCGTCTAATCTGTATCTCTTCCTAGGTTCCTCAATCTGTACCGCGTTCTCTTCAAACCACTCCCCATCAACAATATTATCGAATTGGAAAAAGTCAACCTCCTCCTTTTGTTCCGTCTTAGACAAAGACCCGTCACTTAACAAGTCTTCTATATCTTGTACGCCAAAAACACTTTCAAGAAGGGACGCATTATAAACACTAACAAAAGGAAACTCCTCGTCCTCCATTGCACTTGCAACTAAGGGGTGATCCAATTTCTTAGCACCGCTCCCCTCCTCTTCGGTACTGACTCCTAGTTTTCCGCCTCTCCCTCATCTTCTTCTACTTCCTCCACTACTCTCTCCCAATCATAGGGACCATGAACTTTCCCCTGCTGGGTCATTTCCATCCTATGCCTCCTGCTTGCAACAACGACGGCGTGAACAGTGTGATTCATCCTCAAAGGGTGCGTAAACATTCCCAAGATGGACCCGTCGTTTCTGATCTGATGGCGGTATCGGGTTTGGTAGATGAATGGCTGTCCAAGCAACCATTTGGGCGTTCTCTTGACAAGGAAGAAAGGTACGTCTATCTCAAAACCCTCTTGGATTTGAACGTTCATCCAACATAGACTAGCAAAGAAGTGACTTGTCGCAGCAGCTGTAGACAGTTGCAAATCTTCCACCCCTTGTATCACAATGCCGAGCCTAGCGGCGGCTTCGTACGGTGCCATGTTGATCTCCGCACCACTGTCCACAGTACCATTGGCTTTGACGTACGCATTAGGATCTTGACCGCGTACAATGATGGGTACCCGAGGCGTCTTGACGATAATACCTTTAGCAACTAGTTCACCAATCTCGTTGTGTCCTACGTTCCCCTCAAGCATGGAAATTCTTAGTCCCGAAGTGTTGATCTCTAGCGGAACCTGCTGAGGCATAGAAGGAGCCACAATCATAGAGCGAGCTTGACTAGTTGGGGCGGAGCTCGAGATGCGCTCAGCGAATTGCATGTTGTTAGCCATCTCTTGTTGAATAGCTTTAGCTACAGCCATAAGGGTTCGCTAATGCGCTGTATCCTTTCTGAATTGCTCGAGTATCACTCCCTGCGGATTGTGACCCTCTAGTCCTTTAAGCATCTCTTTGATCTGTTTCGTCGACTTTCCAGCATCAAATCCAAGCTTGATGGGTCGTGTTTTCTTCGTCACGACAGGCGCAAGTGTAGATGCGTTTCCTCGCTCGGTCTCAGAGTCCTCCGCTTCCTCTACAGTAGCTTGTTTCGCCTTTTTCCTTTGTGCAGTGGTTTTCGCCGCGGCAGAGCGGCCCTTTTGTGGTGGGACAACAAGTCCTTTGTTGGGCTCTTCTTTGTCCACATCCATCCCTTCTTCTTCCGACTCTTTAGTATCTTCCAGGTCGGGTTGTGTCAGCCGTCTTAGTTCTTGCTGCCTTTGACTCAGCGCTTTGGGAAGGCTCTTCTCAGATTCTTGGCGTCTGCGCAACGTGGTCCGCCGATCAACTCGGCTTCCCGTAACACTGGCTGGATTAGTGGAAATAGCAACTTCTTCGTACCATGGCACCTGTTGCTCGTAGTAATCGTCGAATGATAGGGGTGCACCGTAGGCATCAGCGAGATCCTCGTTATGAATATTGAGGTCTACCCTCTTGAGCACTTCAATAGCGGAGTTGAGTCCTGGGATATTGACGAGTCCAGACTTGCGAGCAGCTTCACCTTCTTGAGCTTGTCGGGCCAGGCGCTCCACATTCTCTTGTCTCTTACTGAAATCGTAGTCGAATGGCCCTCCTAACATCTAGGCGATAATCTGTTCCCACATCCTACCAGAACTATTATTAAAGAAGATGCGAGTGCCCTCTTTGCCAGGCTCGATGGGCCCCTTGCAGATTTTCCCTTCCTCATTTCGATGACAAACACCAAGTAGAATAAGCTCTTGAGTGAGAGGGCACTTGTCGATGGTGTTATGCTTGCAATTTGGGTCCGGCTCTCCATTCTTAGTACGTCCTGCACACATAAAGCACATGTTTGGTTGATCAGAACCACCATTGTTGCTCCAATTGCGTCCTCTTCCACTAGATCCACCGAAACCACCAAAGTCGGCATCTATAGTCGAAGTGTTGTTTTGCCTAGTCTCGATATGCGCAGAAGAAGCTGCTTGTTGTTGCGAACCTTGGTTTTGGCTTTGGTTCCGAAGCGGTTGACCGCTGTACGGTTGTCCAACACCTCCATGCGAGACTCCATACCCGCTGCTGTTCCCGAAGCTTCCTCGGCGAGAGCCCTGTTGACTGTTTTGTTGGAGCGAATTGACGATCCTCTCAACATTCGAACTCAAGCTAGAGACCTTCTGTTCCATATTGGTCTGTCCCAGAGTAAGCGTACTAAGTTTCTCAACCAAGTCCTCTATCCCTCCAGACGATCTAGCACTCAGTCTGGCACCACCGCCACTACCACTGCTGGCAGGAGATTTTGACTGGGATCTAGACGGAGTTGTAGTGTGGCTTAAAGGAGCGCCACCATTTTCCACTTCCTCGTAGATAGTAGCTCTGTCCGAGAATCTAACCCTCTCTTGGGTTGGGGCCTCAGGGACCGGGAGACGACGACTGCTGCCAGTAGGCATGGACTTGTTGACCACCTCTTGTATGATGTTTCGCTGCAAGGTGTGGTAATCTTCGTCGAATTCTTCAGCAACACGGCGTTTTCGAGCTTCTGACTCTGCGATCCCTTTAATAGCACCTAGCATAGTTTCGTACGCTTCCTTGGTGTTTTCTCCATCAGGGTTGTATTGTTGCTTGTCTATAAGCTTGTCTCTGTGTTTGGGTGGCAAGCCCTTCACAAACATGCGGCAGCGGCTGTCCTCAGAGATCTTCTTGCTCTTGATGAGGTTCGAAGAGTGCCGGTCGAAGAGAACAACGTAGTCTTTAAGATCAAGTATGCTGACACGAGCTTTATCGACAAGAACCTCCAAGAAACTGACAGTGTTTTTCAAGGATGCAGAATCAGCGTGCTTGTACTGCTTCTTCAAGGCTTCGT